TTCTGCACAGCAGGCGCCACCATTGTGAGCGGGGCAGTCGCGGAGCGTGTGAAGAGCCCCACCTATGCCGCCTACGCCTTCTTCATGACCAGCTTCATCTACCCCGTGGTGGTGGCATGGACCTGGGGCGGGGGCTGGATTGCGAGCCTTCGCCGTTCTTGGCATGTTTTTGTTCTTCATTTGTGCTGGTGGGCTACAAAAAACCGTCAGCTGTCTGCTACCATACCACGAGTTGTAGAGGAATGTCCTGGACGTGGGCTACATGGACTTTGCCGGCTCCGGAGTTGTCCACCTCACGGGCGGCGTCAGCGGCCTGGCCGGCACCATCGTGCTGGGGCCCAGGAAGGCCGGCTGGGAACCCCCGGTGCACCGAGTTTTGGCTTCGAGGCGTCTCCGAACCTCGGGGGTTTCCCCGTCTTTGGGGGTGAGCTCGGTTTTGGTGTCGGTTTGATTTTTCGAGACTTCAGGGGGTCTTCCCTTTTTGGGTTTCACTCCGGAGTTGGCCGGTCTTCTTGTTCTCGAAACCTGGGCTTTCCCCTGCTTGAGTCAAATAGGACTCGGAACCTTCCGGAGATGGTCGTTTTTCCGTTGGTCTCGCAAACCAGATCCACAAAGGGCACACTCCGAAAAGTGCACCCATATTTCTCCCACTGGTGGTTTTGAGTACATCCCCTTCTTGTGGGCGGCTTATAGGGTGCGCGCCCCTTCTGGTCTGTGCTGGCCTCGAGCACCCCAGCGAATTGCTGGGGTCATCCAAGGCGCCTTCAAAGGGCACACCGGAAAGGGAACCTAAATATATGACAATCCCTACAAAAAGATATTCAGGTATGACAAAGCAGAACGCTTTCTTGAAGTTATAAGTTGAGTTACACCTCCCCGGGCTAGAAAGACCTGTAGTCAGACAAAATCCTTGTTGTATCCAAGCAGAGTCTGGAGTTTGTTTTCTTGCTGACCCCCTTCAGAAAAGTCGCTCGCTCGATATCCTGACCTGAGCTCAGTGTCGAGTGTGGATCGATCGAAGAAGCCCTCAGTCGTGCGAAACCAACCTTTCCACGTGGTTTTCCCATTTCGGCGCCAAATTCAGTGATGCCAAGAGGTGATCGCCTTTTGTTTCCGGGTCCCTTCCTGCCAAGAGTGTCTTTCGAATTGCGTCCCGGACTTGGGCGCCAAGTCAACAAAACCTCGCTCGAGCCATCGATGTGAACCGACGCCAGGGGCGGTTCACCAACCCCGACGACTTCGAGCCCCACAACCTGCCCCTGGTGGTGCTGGGCACCTTTGCGCTCTGGTGCCTCGCCCCTTCAGAGAGTTGGGGGGGGGTTGGGGGGGGGTTTGGGGGGCTGGGGTTTGTGGGGGGGGGGATCGGACGCCTCCCCCCCAAACACCCCTCAGGCGATCGTGGCAGGGAAGCGGACCCCATACGGTCGGACCCCGAAACATAGGGAAGACTTGGTGACCCAGAGGCCGGAGTGGGGGGAGCTTCCATGCTTCCGGCTGTTAGTTCGTCTGAGGGAGTGAAAGCCCGCGTTTCGAGCCGGGCGGGTGGAGTTTTTTTGGGGATAGATGGGGACAGAGGTGTTTCTTCTTTTCAGGTTTGTTTGGCTAGGAGTAGATGGCGCGGGTTTAGGTTAAGTCTTGTAAACCATTTGCCAGGGGGCATCTAGTTTACCAGAAGGATACCTACGGCTGGGAACCTTTGCGGCTTTTTTTGTTTTGCCCGAATTCAAAGCTGGCCCTGTGATTTTTCCACAGTCACCCAGGTGCAGTGGTAGGCTAGAGACAAACACCCCCAGTTGCCAGTTGCGGACTTTGATAGCCCCCAACAGTCAACATACTGACCAGGTTCAAAAATCAGCTTTTGGGTAGCCCCTGTAAGGTGAGTTGAAGCCTTTTAAGGTGCCTAAGATGATTATTCTTCGGTGATTTAGGGTGCTTGTCAAAAAGTCAGGGTTGAGCGTGCCCCTGTCTGAAACACCCGCATCAGAGTACCAAGCTTTGGGCTCCAACTGCTAGCAAAGCGGTGGTTCACTGTTGGCAGGTCCTCAACCGAACCAAGGTTCGGCTGGTACGGCTTCAACCCAGGCTCCACCCTGGGCATGCACGACGGGGCCACCGGTGCACTGGCCGCACAGGCAAGGCCGGTGGTAAAAAATCGGGAAAGAAACACGGAGTACCCTCCCACCAGCTAACATGCGTTTGTGCACGGTCCCCTGTAGAAAGACTCCTTTTCCTCTTGGAAAGGGCCTTTTTGCACTTCCATGTTAGTTGGTGGGAGGGTAAAGGGCTAAAAAAAATGGGTTGTTTCCAACAACCCTTGAAGTATCCCACATTCTAATTAATTGCGTTTAGGCCCGTGTACCCTGCAAGAGACACCAACAGGAGGGTGTTTGTTTCATCAGGTGTTTCAACCATGGACTACATGGGGGCCCCTCTTTTTTTCCTGAGCGAACCCCGGCGACAACCCCAAACTAAAAGGCCCGGAGCTGTGGATGTTTGTTCTTCAAGATGGTTTTGCTTGCACCTTTTTGGCCCATGTCCCTTGGTGGGGGTGGTGTTTTACTGGGAAACATAGGGAGCAGTTCTTTTCTTTAGTTTGTTTAATAACGTGGATGGACGAAATGCACGCAATGTTTGCAGGCATCAGCAGATAGGCTCTGGAGTTTGGAGCGGCTGTTTAGGGTTCCGGGGTTGCTGTTGGGGAATACTACTTGGGCTTATGTTCATTGGTGGCTTTGATTGGTGGTTTGGGGATTGAACTCCTGCTTCTTGTAGAGGGTAGATGGGACATATTCCAGAACACCACCAACCGCCGGGCGCCAAACCACCCTTCTTGAGGGAAGCTGATGAACTGTTAATTCCCTGCTCTTGTTCATTCATTCGTAACGTGCGCGCGGATTTGCTTTTGTTCATCGCCAGGTCGCCATGAACACCACCCTGGCTGCGGCCACCGGCGGCATCACGGTCTTCATCCTGCGCTACGCCATACTCAGGACAATGCGCCCCACTGACTACACCTGTTTCTCAAGGATATGGGTCTTTCCTTTTTCCGAGGGCACTCCCTTTTCTGTGGTTTTGAGGGGAAACACACACTCCCTTTGGGGTTTCCTTCAGTCTCAGCTTTTCCACCAGGGGCTCATTTCAGAGGTGCATTTTTTGCCAAGGGATCTTAGGACTTTAACTTTTCGCCAACTAATGGGTTTTCCGAATTAAACCACGAACAGTTATTCACTTTTAGCAGGGCTTCGCAGACCGCCACCGAGATTTTCCGCGTGTCTTTATTTTTCCATTTACCTGAGGGCCATTTGTGGTACATGTTTTTGAGCCGCGGCCCTTTGTTTTTGGCCATTTTTTGTACATTTTTTTTGGTCCATTCTTGCCGGCGGCGAGGAAGTACGACGTGGGCGGCTTGTGCAACGGCATCCTTGCCGGGCTGGCGGCCCGCCGATGGGTGGCCCTAGGTCCAGCGATTGGTGCCCTTCTGAACCCCTGGTTTGGTTGGGAGGGTTCGGGACCCTACTAAAATCGACCACAGAAAAAAAATGGTACCCTTCTTCTAACCGCCTTGCTTTTTTTTGAGGCTTGCGCGCTGGGGTTCAAGAGCATAGGCGTCCTTTTTAGGTTTGGCTGGTTTGGATGGGTGTTATGGCTCATTTACCGGGGAAACCCATCTATTTTTCCAAAAGGCCACCTAGGTTCAAGAGGCTTGCACGTTTTGGCCCCCCCGCCCCGATTTTGGCGGCGCGCTTTCCTTCCCAAAATGTCGATGCGTGAAACAAGTGGTGCCCCGGCAACCAGCTTTACTCCCGGCAAGGCACGCTGAGCCTCGCCGCAAGCCGGTTTGCGGTTTAAACGGCAGAATTATCCCGAGGGTGATTTCCACAACCATCAAAACGCGCTTTTCAATGGAGCCCATCCGCTTGCATGCTTGCCACAGACGCTTTTTGCACTTTTTCGTATTATAATACTAGAATAATTCGATTAGTTAAAGCAACTAGAACGAATAGCCCCGCGGCGTGTCCCTTGGATTTGGTTATGTTTGGCTTACCTTGTTTCCGTTGCACGTCGATTGAACCAATCCCGGGTTGCAGGAACTGCTGGACCCCCCCCCAAAAAAAGAGAGGGAATTCCTCTAGTTTCCGTTGGCCTCCCCCACAAAAAGCGGCAGGTCGAACCACCCGGCCTCAAAAAAGGGGCGAAGCCACATGCACATCGGCCAGGTGTTTGTTGCTCCGCAAGCAGAACCAAATTCCGGTGGCTTTTGGGTCGAGCCCATTCAAATCAACATCTCAGACTGAGATGTTGATTTGACCTCCGACCAATGGGCTCGACCCAAAAGCCACCGGAATTCGGTAGTGGACTTTCCACAAGGGAAATGGATCCTTGAAGAAACACTCAATTTTCGGCCTTTGTTTTCTCCGTCTCAGAAAGGACCTCGCCAGTTGGGCGACTCAGGTCTCCATCACCGCAGGGTGCGGCAACATGGAGTGCGGCTCCGCCTTCGCCACAGGGCTGGTGGGTGCCTTTGTCTATCAAGGCGCCTCCATGCTGCTCCAGAAGCTGAAGGCGGGGGGGTGCTCTGAGGTCCGGGTGTGGAGGGGTTGGCCAATGCGAGACATTGAAGAGGTGTCGGACTTTAGACTTTTCAGGAAGCTGGGTGGGTTTGTTGAGAAAGGGGCTTAAGCGGAAATGAGGTGAATGAGGAGTCCTTATTGCCCTCAAGACTGAGGTGCACTATTTCTCTCGGGGGTTGCGGGGAAATCTTGACGGTGTCACAGAAATGGCCGGGTTTCCGCTGAGCAGCTTCTTCAAACCAGGCCCCTTTTTTGCGGCTGCGATTCAACCCAGTGTTGTATTGCACCCTTGGAGTCCAATTCCCCGCGTTTCATGGAAGCCCATCCCAGTGGATGCCAGGCATCTCGCCACTCCAATCTCCACCTAATCTTTGAACAGCTCCCTTGGTTCAGGGACATGGAATCACCGGCCACGGCTTCTGCAAAGAGTTCCTCGATTCCTGGCCCACCCCCCACCCCCCCCCTCCTTGACTGCTATTGGGTTGGATCTTTAGACTTTAACTTTTTGTGAAATCAAGGTGTTTTCCACTAAACCCGCAAAAAATGGTTCACTTTTTGCAGCAGCACCCCCACCCCCAAACCCGCAGATCGATGACCCCGTGGACGCGGCGCCGGTGCACGGCTTCTGCGGCATCTGGGGCTGCCTCGCCTGCGGGCTCTTCGACTGGGGCAAGGCGAGTGGTTCGAGTGCGAAATCTGCGAGAAATGGTCGCTGCATCGAATCAGCCAAGACCAGTGGGTTTAACCAACATCTTCTTCTTCTTTTTTGCTTTACCAACTTTTTGTTGTTGTTTTTGGGAGGAGTTGTCCCCTCAAAGGATGAGCAGCGGGCCTTTCGCCATACCGTCTGGGGCCCAAGCAGGGCTTGTTTTTGGTTGTTTCAGATCTGAAAGCAGTCTGGTGGGGCAGCATTGGGAGCCAGATGAAACTCTGACTGCGGCACTCTGGCACCTATCCATCCATCAGGGCTTTGAAGGCGAAAAGTTGGCAGGGCTTCGCTCCCAAGAATGCAGGGCTCAGGGGTGCGCCAACACGAGTGCCCCAATAGCCCCAGAGTTCAGATTGTGTTTGACTCATTACCCCGGCCTGGATCCGCGGCACACCTCGGCTCCGCAGGGAGTAGCATGGCGCCCTCACTTTGTGGTCCTCAGAAATAAGAAACGCCACAGAAGATGGCCTTTGCAGCGGAGGAAGCCCAAGAGGGCAATGTGGTGCTCTACATAGTTGTCGGCCTATATTTGGTTCTGCTGACAGCAATTGCCAAGCTGGCGCACTCGAGGAAGCAGAAAGCGGCAGCGGTTGTTGGCCAAGTGCAGGCTACGCGAAGGGTGGAAACCTTGCGACGGGGGTATGGGCAAAGGCATGGGTGTGTCTTTTTTGGAGGGTACCCCTGTTATTGGCGGTTTCAAAGGGAAACCAAAAGGACAAAACCAATTTCCTTGGGAGGTCCCCGACAAAGAGACACACCTGTGATGACCACATTTTTCAGAATCTCAGAATCATAGGGATATGGCTGGATGAGTTGCTATTGATCGTCGCAGCTCGAAGTGCAGCAGCGCTAGCCAGAAAAGTAAGACTGGTTGAACTCGGAATAAAAGATATCAAAAGGACATGTAGCTGATTTAAGCCAGGACTCTGAATGCAGATGAGTTGCCAAAAGCTTCTGCAACTTCTTTCGCGACTCTTAGGGTAACTTTGTGTGAGACATGTTATTCGAAGGCAAACCCAAGCAATGCGGAAGGCTATACTTGTCTAGGCCTCTTCCTGTCAATCTACACAGTTATCCATTCATCTACCTATCTACCAATGCATTTACCTCTATATTCACAGATCTATGTCTGCTTCTAACACTCTTCATTTGTCTATCTTGCTAGCTACTTACGGACTCTATCTGTGGATGTCTTTGCCTATGCATCTACCTACCTATTGATCTGCTGGTTCATCTATCCGTGCATTGCATCCATCTATCTACCCGCATCTCTGTCTCTCTCTCTCTCTCTCTTTTTATCCATCTACCCATCTGTAAATAAATCCATCTATTCATCGAGTTTATCCATCCGTCTACAAACCTATGTAATATGTTCATGTCTATCCGTTGACCTATCAATCTTTCCGCGTTTTTGTTCTCTCTTTCTTTAGTTCATGTATCTGCCTGCTGTCTATCTACTTCTGGCGTGTTGTCCATGCGTCAACTCTTATCTGTTTGGCTATCTCCCGTTTTATGTTTCTGTCCATGTATCCACATATCCTATGCTATCTTATGTGCTACTATCCCATCCAGTCCTATCCTATCCGAGTCTCTATCTAATTTGTCTATTCCATCTAGCTAAGCCACAGTTAGCTACAGTATCTAATTTATGAAATATATAGTCTAATCCAATCTAATCCTCATCTAACTTAATCTAGTCCAATGTCATCTATTTGTCCTTTTGATATTGTATCTATCTACCTATTTGACCTAGTATCGATTCATGTATCGAGCTGGAGCTTGAAAAGTCTACTTTGCTTGCTCTCCGTATTCGCGCTCCTTGTGTGACTTCTTGGCCACCTTTGCGAAGCTGACGCTGCATATCAGACTAGTCCAGTTGATAGTCTGAGACGTGTATCAATCATTCCTTTAACACCAACGCATCTTTGCCCTGAGCCATTCCTTTTACAATGGGGGTTTGCGATGGGAGGGGGGCTCATTTTGTTGCTGCCTCGTATTCGGAGTTGATGTTTTAGGGGCCATCTTCAAAGGGCAAAGTGCCAGCTCTTGCGCTTGTAGGCACACTTCGGGGGCTCCTTCGGGTCTATGACCTTGGCGCTCACAACTTTCTCCACGGTTTACTCTGGGTATACAGTCACAGGTATCCCCGATGAGGCCTTTGCCATGGGCTTTGTGTCGCTGAGATGGGTTGGAGCGACGCTGGTGATCGTGGCGGGGATGCTGCTGCTGTATCCACGTCTCCGGCGCTTGGGCGTGGAGCGCAGTTATACGAGCCCCTTGGACTTCATCTCCGACCGCTTCGGCACGAAACGGCTGAGGCTGCTGTGCGCGGCCTGCGGGGTGGTGCCCATGCTGCTGTACATCGCGGTGCAGATGGTGGCCTTTGCGGCGATGGTCGAGGGCATGACGCTCCAAGCCATACCCAAAAGGCCCAGCATGCTTATCTTCTGCGGCATCATCATCACACTTGAGATGCTGGGAGGAATGAACAGCGTTGTCTTGACCGATGCCATACAGTGTGCTGTTATGCTTTGCTCCTTCCTGCTCACACCCGTTGTCCTTGGGCTTGAGTATGGCTTCTTGCCACAAATGGCGCCTGCAGATTGTGATCACCTCATCTACGTGTCTGCGAACTCCTCGCACCCTCACGCAGCGCCGGGCCCATGCTTGGGGCAGGACTGCCTCCCCTCAGGCTGTCTTGAAGCTGTGAGGCCCGACTTCTATCTCTTCCCCAGCCGGTCCACCTTCTGCGACATCCTCTTCTTCTTGTTCAACATGCTGGCGGCGCCCGTCACGCCGCATTTCGTGCAGAGGGCCTACCTGGCGAAAACGGATGCGGACTTGCGGATCGTCATGGGAGTCATGTTGGTGGCACCATTCATTGCACAGCCCCCGGGCATTGTGATGGGGCTCGTGAAGGCTGCAAACAACCCTGCCTGGCCGCTGGTTGATCAAGAAGCTACAGCTTTCTCTGGGGTAATGGCACAATTGAAGCTCGTCGGTGTGCTGCAGTATGTCTTTGTGTCCATCATGACATGTTGCGCGCTGGCTGCCATCATGTCGACTGCAGACTCTGCCCTCATGGGCGTTTCAACGGTCATATCCAATGACATCATCGCGGGAAGTCTTTTTCCTTCCCTGTCCAGCCGCAGCATCGTTAGAGCTGGCACGCTCGCGTCACTCTTGGCGTGCACGGCCTCTTTCTTCCTGGGCAACTTCTTGAGCAGCGTGCAGATGGGCTCCATCAAAAGTTTTAATGGAGGCATGATGATGCAGCTTTTGCCAGCCTTCGGAATGGGACTCTACACGAACGTCTCAGAGCGATCTATTGTTTTGGGAATTGTTGTGGGGCTCGTTTCCCTGGTGGTTCTTGTGATCTTTGGAGATGCATTCGCAGGTTATGTGCCAGACATCAGTTTATCGGCGTTCCTGAACTTTCTCACGGTGGGAATCGCTCATCTCCTCGTGCCCAGCGATGGCAACCCGAAGCTGCTAGATCTCAGGACCATCAGAGAAGCAATGAGCTCCTCCAAAGAGCCCAGCTTGGCTCTGATCGCGCTGATGCTTTTCCTTGCTTTGGTGTCCGCGCCATGGTACAGCTCGCCTGGCAAGCAGGAGCCCATGATTTGGGGCTTCCCTCGGTGGGGCTGTGTTCAGCTGGCAGCCTTCGTTCTGGTGTTTGCCCTGGGTATCATGGCAGTGCTTCGCTGGAAGCCTCCGGGAGGTGCGAACTCGAGCTCACAGGACAAGATCTGCGGGATTGCAGACGGACAACCCGCTTCGAGTACGGAGCCGCGAAGCCCTACGTCCACGAAGTGCTAGTTGCAAGGCCGGAATTCAGACATGCTCATTGCAAGTTTCCAGGTGCAGGTCACGGATTGCATATGTATAGCTCTCATGGGAGAAAGGGACCAGCTTGGAAACCGGAAGACAACCGGCCGCGCCGCTGAACGGCGGACATGGCAAACCGCCCCAGACGCGCGCGTGAGTTGTCAAAGTGAGTGCGTGACTCTGGTCATAAACCTTCTCTCAGGACACTGCGCGGCTTCCGGTATGTGGGATTCCACAAAATCATGACTCGCTGGGATTCCACAGGTTGATTTCCTATAGGAGGTACGGGATTTTTCCTTCAGTGCCCTTTTTGGAACCGTATGTGGCAGTTTTCATGGAAACAAGTAGTAGATTGACCAACGTCTCAAGGAACCCCTGCGCAGATGAGGAGCGGCTGGATTCTTTTTTGGGTTGCCCCATGCTAAACAGGCGGGAGCCTGACTCCGTTTCAGCCCAAGGAATTTGAACGAGTGCTAGCCCTCCGAAACTAAGGTGGAACCTCAAGAGCTCCCCCTGGAAAGACTACAGTCCTTTCAAGATGGTTCCATGTTTGTTGGGAAAGGGTAAAGAGTTTGAGTACCACTGAGGCACTGAGGGATCTTATTTCTCCTCTAGCTCAAGGGAGTGCCCCAACTCTTTGTGCTGAAGTTTTGCTTCCCTACCTCTGACTTCCTCCAGTGGCTGCTTTGCAATCGAGGTTGGTTTCTCCTTCTGGTTGCCCGTTGAATGCAAGCCCAAGTACCATTTGGATAAACTCCCATATGGGCCTGTCTTCTTTTGGAGTTGGCACCTTTTTTTGCGATTTCAAGGGAAACCAAGGAAAGCCGTTGCGCCATTTGTGGGAGGTCCGATTCGAGCCACCCAAATGCTGGTTCGAGAGCGGCAACAAATCATCATGGGCAGCCGTGGCTTGTGTTTTTGTTTGCCCCTTTTCAGGCTCGTTTCTTTTTCGTCGCCTTTTGCAGTGAGGTCGTGCAGGGTTTCGGACATGTGACACATTTTTTTTATTGACATTCTGGAGAAATGTTGCAGTGTTTGTAGGCTAAATGGGTCCCTGTTTGGCCCTTCTAGTCAAGGGCCGAGTGTGTTGGGGATATATATATATATATGTATAAGGACACCCTACTGCATACATGTATAATTACGTAAACACATATGTACGCACATATATATATATATGTATATACATGACTGATGCGAAGCGAAGCTCCTCCTGCCCTGCTGCCCAGAGTCAGGTGAACGTAGATGGGGATTTGTGGCATCGGTGAGTTCGCTCGATCGATCTTGTTAAAGCGAGCGAAAGCCGTGATGATCCGGTTGTGAAAACTTGGTCATCCATGTCATCCATGATTTCAGGTTTTGGAAGTTGTGTAAACAACATGAGGGTTTATGTCATGCTATGCTGCACCAACATGGGAAAAAAACACTCCCACTGAATACCAACTGGTGCAGGAAGAGTTGATTTTGTAGCCATCGATAGTTTGGCAAGGGATGCACCAGGAAGAATTCCCGTCAAAGGGACCTCCGCCGGCGACGTTTGTGCCGCCCCCTCCGACCTCTGCCACCCTGAGCCTTCGCTGGGTGTTGTGAGCTGGGAGGGGGGGGGGAATCTGAGCTCTGCCCTTCCTGCAAGGAAGCAAACATGGGTGTGGGTCAAACATAGGGCAACCCCCAAAAATGGCTTGCCCTGGTAAATGGCTTGCCCAGGACGCTTGAATCTCGCTTTCACTTTCCTCTCAGTTTTGGGGGTCTGCGCCAACCATGACAGCTCGAGTTCCGCCTTTGGGGCTGCCCCCTCTTTTATTCCCTTTTAAGGGGGATGGCCCCTTAGGGTGCTGGGGGTCCACACCTGGAGCAATCAGGAATGGTTCAGCTCGAAAGTGTGGAATGAGCTCATTTTGGGGGGATGACCCCGGATTCAAAAGGTCCTCTTTATAGCTAACCTTGCTGTTTTGTGTTTTGGCCGCGTAAATTACTCAACCAGAGGGTCCCATGGGTTTGTCTTTGGGTTGATCCCCCAGAGCGTCAGCTCTGGTTCCCGTGGGTGTAGTCCCTTCGGCGGCACGAGTTTGTGCTACCCGCGGTTTCAGCCACGCGCAAGAACTTTGAACGATCCAAATCGTCCCAAATTGGGGGGGGGGGGGGTGTCCTTCATTTGAAAAAACAACAACTCCCCAAATTGGTGGTTGCCGTTTGATTGCCCGTGAAAACCACCAAACACAGGGTACCCCTCAAAAAAATAGATGTGTCCAAGTTTGCCTTTTACAGAGCCCCTGAACACATGTGGCACCCAAATGTTTCAGGTCCCCAAACATAACAAGCCTTACCTTTCGACCCCTCCCCCCCAATTTCCGGCAAGCGTCTGACCAAAGCAAAACCCAAAGACCACAGCTCAAAGCGCGCAGGGCGTGGACCACTACCACGGCTGGAGCGGCTGGGGCTGCATGGCCAACACGGATGGCAGCTGCAAGACCGGCATCGGCGGCTCCGCCATCGGCGCGCAGTTCATCATGATCCTCATGATCATCGCCGCTCGGCGTTTTTTATCTCCTTTTTTTTTTTTTGGGGGGGGGGGAAACATGGGTAGATGACGGGTAGTAAGGAATAGCCCCAATCACAAGTAGGTGCCGCCGCGCTTGCAATTCTTTGCACATGGTTTTTGGTAGATCATGTTAATACCTGTATTTGAGGCTGGCTGGCTGGCTGGCTGGCTGGCTGGCTGTCTGTCTACAAAAGACGGGAACTCTCAGCGCGGTGAGGTTCAGTTAGAGACCTGATTTGGGCCCCCCCTTTAGAGGCGGCAAGCGTTGTTTTCGTGGAGCCCACTCAGTCAGCGGCAAACATCCCCAGGCAGGAGGTTTTCGAAGTGGGATTTGCCGTATAGGGGACTTCTCAACGGATTCCCGGTGCGCCATAAATCTGGCGCGCTTGGGGAAGGGCCAGTGGCCTTTGATTCGTTGGGGCACAGACGCACACACCCTTGTTGGGAAGCAACACTCACCCCGCTTGTTGTCTCAGGCAGTAGGACAGGGAGGCTAGTTTCAGGCGCCTTGGCAGACTTCCCCCCTGTTTCCTCCAAGTAAGGCCTCAACCCAGTTGTCCAAAGCCGACCCTTTCGGGTTTCCGCTGTAGGTTTCCGAAAATGGGGGTCGGACTCATGTGCCTGAGGGAAACCTAGAGAGAGAGGAAGCCCAACTCGGAAGCCCTTGTCGGAAATGGATCCCGATGGGACATGGGACCCGTTTTTTCCCTCCCAACCGGGGAAGCACGGAAGGACCCCCGATGTCTCTCACCTTTGCTCCGCCAGATCTGGGCGGGCCTGCTCTCCGCCCTCGCCTTCGTGATCCTGAAGGCGGTCTCGTTTCGTTTTTCCCCCCCGGCTGAAAGCTTTGGTCTCGTGGTCAGCCGAGTGGTCAGGCGGCGGCGGGCTAGGGTTCCGAAAAGCTTTCCGAAGCCTAGGGGCGAAGAAGTACTTTTTGGGGCGCGACATGAGTCATTCCCCCAAACCTAAACCTGAGGTTTCATTTTCTGTGTTTGGCAACGCTTGCTTAAGCTGAACTTGGCGCCTCCGACCCCGCGCTCCTCGCTGGTTTCTCATTGTCAAGCCCAGAAGGGATCTGGCACGGTTATTTCCGTCGGACACGGATGTGTGGTCAAAGCAGCCACCTGGTGCTAGAGATGGTGATAGACCCCTTTAGACAACGGGATTATGGATGATGTCGACGTTCCACAGTGTTTCTGCGCAAGTTCTTTTCTCAGGCTCGCCTGGAGAAATGCTCACACAGAAGGCCCCACTGGAGGAGCCCTCATTTCTATTTGGTTTCCCTGTTCGAGAGCGGCTGGGCATGTTGCGCGCAGGGGGAGCTTCGCAGGCACCACGCGATCCGCCAAAAAAGCTGTAAAAGAGCACGGCTTCTGCTTTTGCGCAGGCGCAAACGCAGAAAGCGCTGTACAACACCACGGTCGTTAGCATGAAATTCATGCACCACCCGAGGCAGAACAATTGGCAAACATGCGCATTTTTCCTGCTGAACGCTTTGGATCGTTCAGACCTAGGGTTTTCTTTGACACAGGCCCATGGGGCCGGGGGTTGAACAAAAGGTCCATAAAGGTCCTTTACATGGGTTGACCATTGGGGAAGCCACCAACAAAAAACGACTTTTGAAAAAGTCACCCACCGGCCAGGAACATTGATCAAAGGGGATCAAACCCCCCTGCGGTCACCGGCCGGGCGGCCACTTGCGCGTGTGCGCAAAAGCGCCAAAATGGGGTCCCCGCAAGCGCGCGTCAGGTGGTGGGTGCTCTGCGGGTGAGTGAGGACGTGGAGGACGGCGGCATGGACTCGCACCACCACTCCCCACCCAAGGCAGGGAGTTGCCTAAACAGCATGTTTGGTGTCAAGGAAAGTGGATGTGTCTCCTTCCAGTGTTTCTCAACGTTTGGTCTCCTTCAATTGTTTGTCTTTTTTTTGAGGGGAGACCCTAAAATGGCGCCTTTTGGTGTTCTTGTTGGGTTTCCTGAAAGCCGAGCCTAAAACAGGTACCCCCCCCAAAAGACGAGACACCCATCTGGAACCGATCTGTTTTCCAAAGTTTTTTTTGGTGGCAATTAATTGGAAGCCCAAAGGAAAGCCGACGCCAGGTTATGGTCTAAAAAAGACACAGCATGTGCCGTTAGAAAAATGGCCACCAAACCAGGAACGGGTTCCCCTGCAGTTGAGAGGATAACCAGGTCCTTTTTTCTGTTGGGGGGGGGGGGGGAGGGGTATTTTTTAAACGTCATTTGTTTATGATCTTCCAATGGTTGAGGTGGTCGAAAGAGACGAGACCCGACGTTCTCGAGTACCGAACTCCACGCCAAACCCCGAGGCCTACGCTTTGGAGGGTGTCAAGCCTCAACCTGCCTAGAGCGATTCCGGCCTGGAGGGCCATTCCAGCGGGGGCAAGTCGATTTTTTTTCGGGCATTCCGACTCGTCCAGGTTGCTCAGATGGCGGGAAATGGAACAGCTGAGAGTGGTCCAAGAAAACAGCTTGAAACTGATCAGAAAGGCGATGATCTTGCTTAACTGGGCGACTTGGAAAGAGACGACGCGTGTACTGTAGATCTTGGTGCTTGGATTGGGCGGACACCTTCCCCCTCACATCTCAACATCATTGAAGTATTTGTTGGGGGTATCTCCGGAATCGGGGGTCGCTGTCCTTGCGCTGGTCTTAAACTTTTACGGTCCTGCCCCTTTGCTCTCCCTTGAGCGGGCAGAGTTGAAGCAGCGGCTGAAACGGCGCGTGGCCGCGGCCAGAAATCATGGCCCTCGGTAGTGGAGCTGTCGAGGCAGCCACGTGTCCGACGAAGAACACCGAGTCCTTGCCGGGGGAACCTTCAAAATGGGCCGGGCACCGAATTGCGAGTGCATCTTTATCCCGATCGATCCTGTCAAGTCGGGAGCGCTCGCTTGGTTTGTGACGGGTTTCTTCTATCCTATCAGATTTACAAGTGGTCCCCTATTTTGACGCATACCCAAATGAAGACAGTACAAGGGGGTGAGGACATGCTCGGCCCGACTCGCATCACTGCTGTGCCGCGAATCCGCACACAGCTGGCGATGCAAAAGCACGAGCTTTAGGCGGCCGCGCTAGGAGGCCCCTCATAAGGAAACAAAGTCATGAAGCTGTATCGATGGCCTACACCCTGTCTGCAAGCGTGACAAATTCTGCGCCTTTCTTGGCCGCCCAGAGTTCACAGAAACGGCACGCCGCCCCACTCACCGGGGCGGCTTTTCCTTCCCCGGCGAAGCCGCGAGCACTGGGCCGACTGGACATTATTGGCCGAAAAGGGTGGTTTATATACATATATATATATGTATATGCATATACATATATATATATATGTATACTTTAGAGCCTCCGGCTCAGTCCGCCGACATTGACCTCTTCTTCTCTTCCTGTTTCTGCGCTGCTCTTCTTATCTTCTCTTATCTTCCCTTCTCTTGGCTTCTTTTGTAATCGGACGAACATCTCCAAGCGGGAACGATCTCTTGAAAGAACAAAATGCCGTATCAAGAGGCAAGGGGGTAGGGCGTGCGACGCCTAGAAGCTTTCGGGTCCTTGAAACCAGGCTGAACTCTCTCTGAATCTCTCCTCTCTCTCTCTCTCTCTCCCTCTCCTCCTCTCTCTCCTCTCTCTCCTCTCCTCTCCTCTCCTCTCCTCTCCTCTCCTCTCCTCTCCTCTCCTCTCCTCTCCTCTCCTCTCCTCTCCTCTCCTCTCCTCTCCTCTCCTCTCCTCTCCATCCTCTCGCTTTTTATCTACCCCCTTGATTGCCTCTTCATTTCCCCTTCATTTCCTTCTCATGCCCCGTCATTTCCTTTCATGTCCCGGCACTGCCTATCATTTCCTCGTTATGTCCCCTTCATTTCCCGTCAATTCCACCTTCATGTCCCTGTCATTTTCTCTGTATTTCGGCTTCATTTTCGATTTATGTCCCACTCATTGCCAGCCATTTCCCTACATGTCCCTTCGCGTCCGTTGATTTCCTCATCACTGTCTGTCATTTCCCTTCGTTTCCCCTGCATTCCCCCTTCATCTCCCCTGCATTTCTCACACCTCATCTGTTAGAGCTTGCCTCTATCAATTTGTGGGAAATTTGGGTGGAAATTGAGGGGGGGGGGAAATTTGGAGAAGTTGGGGGGGATTTTTGGGGAATTTGCGGGGACATTTGGGGGGAACTGGGGGGGAAATTGGGGGCAAGTCGGATGGAAATTGGGAGGACATTGGGGGAAATTGGTGGGAAGTTAAGGGACCTTTCGGGGAAATTGTGGGAAATTGTGGGGGGAGGGCATTGGGGGGGGGCACTTGGGGGGAAATGTTGGCGAAATTGGTAGAACAAATTGGGAATGTGGGGGGGGGGGGAAATTTGGAGGGACATTTGGGGGAGACTGGGTGGAAATTTGGGGGAATTGACATTGGGGGGAAGTTGGGGCGAAATCGGGGGGAAATTGGGGGGGGGGGGTAAAGAGTTATTGCTACAGGCAAGGCTTAACTCATCTGCATTCCCTCTACAAGTCACGCAAAGAAGGTGGTCAAGGAAGTCGAAAAACACTGTGTTTTTCAATGGGAAAGCACAAAACACCGTGTTTTTCGATGTTTGCAGCAAAAGGAAGCGCAAAAACCTGAGCTGGCAGAGAGAGGCGGCAGGGGGATTCGAGCCTGGGACCCCTGTTTCCCCGCTCCCCGAAGACTATTTTTATCAGACCGTCATCAAATTGCCGCGCGGTACGTGGGGGAGGGGGGGGGAGGGCGAAACCCTGCGCAATTGACGTGTCCCGGGGGGACTAAGGGGGGGTTATCCTCTATCCTCTATTAGGTATCCGACACGCCGAACAACGTCGGCGGATATCTATATGATATACATATATATATATATATATAGATGTGTGCGCGCGTATCGGGGTATTTCCACCAGTTCTTGCCAGGTGCCATTGCCAGGTGCCATTGCCAGGTGCCATTGCCAGGTGCCATGTGGCGGTTGTATGTATTGTCATCAACACATGATTGACACTGAGCATGGATCGGGTCGATCAGTGTCCAGGCTGCAGATACATCCTACACTGAAGGGTTGCATGGTCCTACCCAGAAGGTCGCGCCCCTCGATTTGCGCCGCCCATTTAGCACTTAGGACGTTAACTCCTTCGAAAGATCTCTGCGTTTCGAAGGGCACGCCCTGAAGGGTACGACAAGTTGGACATGCAAGTCGCTTTTCCGTGCCATGCTGATCTGCGCAGTAGCTCTGTTGAATGCCGCCGCGGGCCCGCCCGCAGCAAGATCTCAAGCGTAAGATTGCTGAGATATCCGGCGGGCGAGAGGCGGGAGACGGCGAGTCACGGTCGGAGTTGGGGTGCACGCTGTCTGGGGTCCGGGATGACCGGTGAAAAGGCCCATGTTCAAACTCTGTGCCCCGAAATGATCAGTTCCGCGAGATGGGACGCAGGTCCCAAGGAAGCAGCAGCTTTCAGGGGAGCCCCTGGGCCGAGCCAGTGTGCTTTTCGATCGAATGGGATCAAGATTTACCTGGGACCAGCGAATCAGAGCAAGCCAAGACAGGGGCGCACCCTCCGAAAAGGAGATTTCCAGTGTTTTGCTTGAGGTTTCCAGGCCTGATCAGAGGAATTTGGAATCGGCTTGGCACGGATGTAGCTGGGCATGAATCGAGTAAAGAAGGCGAAGCAAGACCAAGCACATGATTCTCCTACGATCATAACTTGCTTTGGTTTGCAAGTGCCCGACAATCCCTTCTCATGGTTGAACGGCCCGTTTAGACCAAGGGATGAGTTTCATCCACCGAGAGCCATAGCGCGCGAAGGTTCAATGGGAGCTTTTGTGTGGAAACTATAATGGAAAAAGCAGGCTTGAGCCTGATCCTCCACCCGTTTACTATTGGACAACACACATGTATGTGTGTATATATATATATATATATTTGTGTGGTTACACCCCCCCTCTGATCTACCTTCAATATACTTCCTGTAAACATGCGAAAACACGTTTTTTGCAAACACATATTGGTTTGCTTTCACATTGCGTTTGATGGGTGGCCGGAATTCGGGCATCCGAAGCGCCTGCAAATCTAGGAAGAAGTTCAACAACAATAAGCTGCTTGTTTAAAGGTGAACAACACTTGCTTGTTGCATGCTCTTGAGCATGTGCTTTTTTTTCTATTCTGTTACACACAACTTCAAAGGAACAACACACCACCCAAGCTCAGAGGATAGGTTTTGATTTTGCCAAAGAGTTTTTGGTTTCTTCCTGTTTTGAGGCTTTTCTTTCATGTTCTCCAACAACTTGTTTATTTATGTTTGAGTGCCAGCCACAAATAAGACACTTCTAACCACCTTGTATAAAATAAGCTCAGGTGATATCCCCAACAGCATGCGGTGCGCAGCCCTTGCAGAACCTCGAGGAACCCTCGTGGAACCCTGGTGGAACCCTGATCTGGGCTGAGACCCCAAAGCTTTCCGCTGTTGGGGAAATCTTCTCTGAATCTTTTGTTCTTGGTTTTCCGGCAGCTGTTTAAACATTGATGACGAGTTTGATTAAACACCTATATAATCAGAATGTTTTTTTTCCTCCGATTTTCCAAGTGGCTTTCAAGTCTTGACTCAACAACGCTCCTTGTAAAGCTCCTTATGGCGGTCCTGACAAGGCTCATTGTAAGCCTCTTCGGTGCTTATACGCCTCCTTGCAAAGCTCCTCATAAGCTGTTTTTAAGGCTCCTGAATGAACATGAAATACTAAGTATTTGTTGACTTTTTACTTTTTAACTCTTTTTACCTTTGTGTCATTGGCTCCAGAATTTCTTTTTTACTGTTTTACTTTTGGGTCATGGGCTCCACAATTGTACTTACGTTTTCACTTTTGGGCCAATGGCTCCAACATAGCTGTTGTTTTGCATCTTCTGACCAAAGCTCAGCTTAGAAATAGGACCGAGCTAGATCCAAACCGACTGTTTCCAAGATTCCCTGGAACAGTTTGGCCTAAAGCTTTCAGATATGGAAATGTGTTTTTTTGTTGGTCTGCTTTCCCCAAAGCCCCGAAAAAGGCAGAACACACTGCACATACCAGTGACTTCTGAAGCAAGGTAGATCCATGGGGGTGTATATATATATATATATGTATATACACATGGTACCCCCCCATGGATCTACCTTCCTTGAATCCTATATACGTGGACATATGCTTATATGTATGTATATGTATATGTATATGTATATGTATATGTATATGTACATGTATATGTATATGTGTAAGTATATGTGTATGTGCATATGTGTTTATGAGTTTGACTTACATGGGTTTATGTGTTTTTCTATACGTATGTGCCCCCGTCCGAATCTTGGTATTGGGGGGGGGGGGGTGGGGCGGAAATGGCATCATTGGCTCGTGAGGCAGCGCGATGATCTGCAAGACGGTATTGGTTGCCAGTGCCTCGGGGGCGAGGGGTAACTTCCATTTCCAGTCTTTCCAGGGATCCTTCTTGCTGGAAAACCAGCAAAAACCCTGGAGAAATGGCTGGTTTTTGAAAAGAACGATGGCTGAAAAGAATGGAAAAGGAATCAACCCCTAGATGGATGGTAGGATTGGCCTCAAGCTTGTTCATATAATCAGCCCCTGGTGACTCCCAAACGGCACAAACAGGAGGTTGCTGGATGATGGTGCAGGTCCTTTACTTGGGGCCCATGTCTTATGCTTTAAATCAATTATGGCAGGTACGGAATATCGGTTAAGACATGTAGCGAGGGGTTGGCTCAAAGGTAGAACCTTCAACCGGTTTTTCGAGGGTACCTAGAGTCTCCATGACCCCCAGAAAAATGGGTCATTACCTCCCCTAGTTTTGGGTAATGACCCCATTTTGAAAGGGTCATGACTCTAGGTACCCCTTTTTGGTTGGTTTTGAAAGGAACCAAAAGGAACCGAACCATTTTGTTGGGCTCTGTGAAACATTCCCGTCTCAATCCCTGGGAGGTGGATCCATTGTGGTACACCGAAATCGGGATCGTGCGACCATTGTGGCACCCCATACACTCATGAAGAACTGGGAGTTGAAGCCGCACCAATTGCTTTTTGACTTGGCTGCTAGCGGAAGTGCTTGCACCCCTAAACCCTAAACCATTTTGGGCTCCCGGTGGTTTGGAGAGGCGCCCCTAATCAAGGACGCCAATCGCACTGTGGGTGGACGAAATCCGTTCGCACCACTTCGAAACATGGGAAGCCATTGTTTTGTTGGTATTCACAGGGGAATCATCCTTCCCGGGTTTCTGAACGGTGGTGCCGAGGATTTCGTCCATCAGTGTGGCAATTGTGGCAATTGGGAAGCCGATGAGCAAAAGGAAACGAAGCCTTCCGAAGCCCGAGGCCGCTCTTGTGGCTTCCTCCGCCGAACTCCAAGATGAGGCTCGCGGATCCGCTCGATCCCCGGGGTAGTCTTCCATTTCCATTTCTTTCCAGGGATGCTTCTCCCTGGAAAACCACAAAAGAAACCCTGGGGGAGATGGCGATCGGTGTTTGAAAAGAACGACGGCTGAGAATGGAAAAAAATCATCAACCCCTGGAAGATTGCAAGTAAACCAACCCCACGCCATGGTGGAGTTGAGGGTTTCCAGCTTGTTGCAAGATGTGATGGGTGCTGGGGGTGTCAGCTGGTGCGAAGACGGCGACGGGACGCGTATCGGACCCTGGAAAGGGGAGTCTGTCTCAGGGGGAGACATCCCCCAAACTGGGCCGTTTTTCCCATGGGGGTTCCCTTGGAGCCAACCGAAAAAGTAGCACCCTCAAAAGAAGACAGACAATTCAGGAGCAGCATCTCAGAGATTAAGTTACATAAGAGTGCGCCTTAAAACAGTCCAAACAGTGGTTTTCCTTTAGTTTCCCTGCAAAACAAACGAATGAAGCGAACCCTCAAAAATCAAAGGCCATATGTACACACCCATTTATGAACCCATGGTATGACCCCTAGTTTATGGGTCAAGTACTGTTTCAACGGGAGAATAGTTCCAAAGGGTCCAACATGGCCATGGATTCGTTAGGGTTTTCGAAGCCTTGTTGGCTTTGAAGGAGATCGGCACTATGACTTGATATTGAACCAACACGGTGGAGTTCCTGGCCGATTTCAGACACAGAGTTCTTCTATTTGCGTTTCAGAAGAGTTTATTTTTTCCCAATGTTTGCGTTTCCGGTGAATTCAAAACAACGGGAGCCTATCACTGGTGGGGATATGTTCTACTCAAGTTTTCTATATGGGACGCGCACACGCAAATGGAGCAGCTCCTTCTTTGTTCCCCCCCTCCCTCAAAGGGGCTTGAACCCATTTTTTCCAACAGATTGGTGGACTCTCACCTCGAACCGCCGCCAAGCGGACCTCCTTTGGAAGTGAACAAGTCATGGGAACCCTGGACCCTGGTTGATTTAGAGGGGGAGCACCCCCTTTTTGGTGGGGGTTCATCACTTTTGGAGGGGAACACCTACTGATTGGACGGGTTTATTCATCCAGGGTCAGCTATCGTCAGAGCGACGCCTTGGTGTTGCAGACATGTTTATGTTTTTCCACACCCATGACTTCAATCCCTCGTTGAGGCGCGTTCAAGCCAGTAAAGCTCAAACGCCACCTCCTTTTTGTGTTCCCGAGGGGTATCAAGGGTAGATGGGCGCTTTGGGCCAGTTCTGTCCGAGGATTTGCTGTCCTGATTTGCTCTCTGGGGGGTTATCAAAGTCAGAAGCTGGGGCGTTTTTTTTTTTGTTTCCCTCCTTTTTTACATCCACCACTGAAGGGTGGTGGTGTTTTATGTGTTTTACTCTGAAGGAGACGCTGTGTTGTGGTAACCGACGCTTCAGGTGGCCGCCTTGAAGGCGGAGCTGTCGGCGCAGCGGCAGCTGCTGGAGGAGTCTCTCCTCGCCGTTTGAAGGGGAAAACAGGTTTGGACAGCCGCGCTTTTGGGGGTTTTGCAAAGGGAAAGGCATGTGCCCCATTTTTTTGTTGGACCCAGGCGAACAATCCGATTTTAAGTGTTTTTTCACCTGGGTGCCAAGAACGTGGCCATGAATTAAAGCAAGGGAAGCACCTCAAGAATGGTTGGTGGACATGACTCCCCACCCAAATTTCAAGATGTCCGCCGAAGGGTCCCTAATTAGAGTTCATGCCCAAGCCCAACTGGGTGTCCATTTTTCCCTATTTTGAGACACACCCAACTAGGGATGTATTTTATTGAGGACCCCTTGGTGGACATCGCTTAGGTGGGGATTGACGTCCACCAACCGGTTCCTCCATAAAATTAATAGCTAGATGGCAACCACCCCCTTCAGGTTGGTATTTAAAGGGGAGCCAACAAAAAAACACATTTTGGGGAATGGACCAAAAGTACACTCAAGCTTTTTGCCTTTCAGTGTTTAGAGGGGTTCAGGACGCATCCTAAGAGCAGTCTGACTTAAGGGACCCGGTTTGGGACGGATCCTCAAAAAGTGCAAGGCAGGGGCTTCGGAGCGAATCAACATGCTGCGATAATTGGGAAGTAGTTGCCCGGCTCCTGATGGGAAGCCTGTTGGTTTTGTGCTTTTGGGTCTGAGGGAGGGGGTGGCTTATTCCAGCATAGGGTTTCATCAATCCCGAACTGGTCCTGGTGTTTTCTTCGCACAGTGGGTCCGTTAGAAGCCCTTTTTGGACAGAATCCGTGCTTTTTGACTGCAGGGATTTTTCGATTTAAGACAACCCGCGAACCAACATCTGACACTTGTTTTCTGTGGCATTTTGGTTTGTTGCTTAGGGAGCGAGGCATCGATTCGGACAGGTGTCCTAGACATTTGCGGCGGTGTATACCCAAAGGCAGCTGGGACCCGGACAAAACTCAGCTGGGAAAGCCAAAGGAAGACGGATAAGGGCTCACTGATGTTGGTAATTTATACCAAGCGTCGTGCTTTTGGGCCTTGGAGACGTTGCCTATTCTGGGGGTTCCCTCATTTGAAGACGTTCTGGCTGTTCGGGGACGGATTGGGAGGGTGCAGGACATGGAGCTTTTACCCCACCAACGAAAGAAGCAAAATGGAGGTTTCCAATGAGCCAGATCAAAAAGGCGTGTCGTTCTTTTTGCCCTTGTTGGGTCGTTTGACACGGAAGCCAAAAGGAAGACCGCTTATTTTAGGGGGTTAAAACCAGAGTAAAAAGGGCTATTGGTTGCCACGCATGGTCATCCTATGCTCATAGCGTATAGCTTGGTTTTAACGTAGATCGCAATTCCGCGTACCGGGGTTTTCTGGGTTTTCTGCGTCTAAGTTTTACATCACGTTTCCCCTGACCTGCCATAGAGCACCAAATTGTCAGTAGAACATAGTGGCTGCTCACGCAATTCCCCTCGGCAACCTAAGAAATGAGCATGCAGAGAGGACTTTGAGCCCTGCCTGCCTGCATTGAACACTGCTCACCCGGGTTGTCTGAGTGGCCTCTTTTGGGACCCCGAGGCGGCCTCATTGTGGTTTGGTTGCAAAGAACCTGCGTGTTTCCGACCAGGCGTTCCTACTTGGACATCTTTTTGAGCCACAGCCAAATCAATGTATCCGCTTTTTCCAGCCCATATTACCCCGAAGGGCAATTAGAAAGGGGAAAGGGAGGAGGTGGATGTGCATCGAAATGTGGCTGACTCCCTAGGATGGAGAAGGGACCCTTGGTGCTAAGCTTGGCTGCCGTTGGGTTGTATCCTTCGCCTTGAACATTTTGCGGGATGAAAAGTGCCCTTCCCCAACCAACACAAAGTGTAGCAGCCGCATACGAGCTGCCCGGAGTTCTTTAGGGACATAAACCAGGGGCTAAGTCATTAACGTAACGTCATGGCTGAATTTGGTTTTGCCGCCCCCGAACCGCCCCCCCCCCACAATTATCAAGCCCCTGGAACCTGAAACGAGCCAGAAATGGTGGTTTCCCAGACAACTATAGACCTTGACGAAACATGCAGTTTGGAAGCAAAGTTGTCCACGGTTGTCCTTTCATGGACCCCCCCACAGCAAAATTGGCAGTTTTCCATTTGGTTTCCCCACCTACCAAGGGGTTGAAGAAATTGGCCCTTTTTACAAGTGTTTCCCTTGTCCTCAGGAGTCGCGGCATCGCTTTGAGGAAATGGAGGAGGGTGGCCGACGTCTGCAGGCAACGTTTTTCCCGCATGCAGGAAGGAGCAGAAGGGTTCCCGTTTAGAGGTGGGGGGGGTCTTGGGATTCGGGCGTGGCCAGGATTCGCCGCGTTTACAACCGCAAGCGCTTGCGAAGCGTGCGCCATGGAGGGAGTTGGGAAGCGCTGTTTTTCACCCCGCCCCCTTGCGTGAATTGTTGCTTTTGAGACGTGACGTGCTGTTTCGTTGTGCAGGCGCAGTGCTTTAAAGGGTTGTGCGTTTGCGTCGCCGTGCTATGGTAATTTGCATTTTGAGGGGTGGTCGCTTTGAGGTGCTTTGCTCGCGTGTCATTTGTGTTGGCCCTGTTGTACAATTGGCTCGTTTTGGCGGGCTCGAAACTTGCAAAAACTGGTGCACATTTTGGAGACGTGCAGTAAGCGTGACAGAGCTGCATTTCGTTACAGGCGCAGTATTTTGCACGAATTGCTCAGCACTTTAGAACTTTTATTCAAATTTCGTCGCCGGCGCAGCACCTTGCAGCTTGGCGTGCAGATTGTGTGGCAGGCTTGGCGCACAGATACTTTGGGAGCCTTGGAATGTCTTGGAGGATGTCATTGAGGGATTTGGATGACTTTGCAACTGTTTTTGGTAGGGTTCTTTGGGGGGTTGATTTGGGTGCTGTCTTTGGGGACGTCTTCCAGGATGTCCTCCAAGGGGGATATCTGTGGGGGGTTCTTTGGGTATGTCTTTGCGGTCGTTCGGGGTTAATGTTTTGGGGCTGCTCGGGCGATGCTCGAGTGGTGTTTTGGGAGCATGTCTTTGAGTGTCTTTGGGGATAATGTCTTCGCGGTTGTCTTGGTCGATCTCTTTGGGAGCGGGTGTTTCTTGGGCAGCGTAATGAATGTCTTTGGGATGTCTTTTGAGGGTGTCTTGGGGCAATTCCTTTCGGGGGATGTGTGAGGTTTGCGGGTGTCATGGGGGCATGCCCTGGCAGATGCCCTGGGCTTTCAGGGATGTCTTTGGCGATTTGTCTTCGGAACATGTCTTGGAACGTCTTGGGGTGTTTTGGGATATGTCGTTGGGGCTGGGGTTACGTTGGAGCACCTGCAAAATGTTTTCGGATATGCTTGTCTTTGAACATGCTTTGTCTTTGAGGCTATGCGGTTGCGCATTTCTGCATTCGGGTTTGTGGCCCCACGAACATACACACTATTTGGCTTTGGATGGCAGGGTGTGGGGGCTGTAGTAATGCAATGGTGTCCACATGAGCCATGCCTATCCAGTCCCATAGTTGACCACTTGTCACTCACCGCCTTTTTTTTTGGGGGGGGGCCTTTCCCATGTTGCAACAAGCCCAGGTAAGTTTGAGGACGGCTTTTGAGGGCTCGATGACATGCGTAGTGTGAAAAAAGCATTCCCCAATCCGAATTTTGATCCGTACTTCAGGTTCCCTTCGGGCTCCACAGATCAACATTGGAGAACGGGCTCGATCTTCCGTTTTGGACAATTCGCCTTTCTGAGGCCGTTTTTGTGTACTTTGACCATAGGGAAGCCAAAGGGAAGCCAGAAAACTCTTTGGAGGACTTCCACTTTTCTACCGATGGACGGGCAAAAGTCAAAAATGAGCCCCCTGACTCCAACCCCCGCTGAGCTAGCACGTAATTTTTCAGGTCTGGCGAAAGTCACCTTGCAATGAGAAGCATTGCCTGCCCCCTCGATCTTTTAGGTGTCCAATGTGGTTGGTTTGGTTGAACAATTTGAGAGGGCGCTTCCTGGTTGTTTTCTGCCGGTTCAATCATCTAGGCGGGCCAGCCATTTGTCCAAGAAGGATATTTGTGCACCTGATTTTTGGGCTGGAGTTTCAAGATGTCCAAAACGTTTCTGGGGAAGCGCCCATTTTGAGGTAGGGTGTTTCTGGTGTTCTTGCACCACGAACCCGCAAGCCCCGCAAGGTGACCCAAACAAGCTTCGACACCTCTGTCGGGGCGCTCGGATCCAAAGCAGGACAAGGATGAAAGACAGGCGTATTTTTTGCACTCGATGGGTTGCCCTCGTCTTGACACATGCTCCCCATTTTCGTGGGAAGTTCTTCCCCATTTGACGTTTCCCCAGTTTCGCCTGTGTTCTTCGGGTTCAAATTGATACAAGATCAACATAGGCAGGTGCCTTTCTTTTCCATGGGATCTGGAGGTTTCTTTATGGCGTCGTCTTTTCGCGGGTATTTTTTTTTGTGGTTCCAACACTTCATGTCTTTTTCTGTTTGGCTGAAGGACTTCGGATTTTCCAAATTGGACCCACCAACAGTTAATTGCCCTTCCTCCCACACGAAGAGGGTCGTTGCAGCAACCAAGGTTTGAGGGCCGACTTTCAAAAGCCACTTGAGGGACTTGTCTCTTTTGGGTTCCCCATTTTTTCAAAGAATCAGCCTCCTTAAATTGGTGGCCCTTTGGCCCTTTGGGGTCATTGCTTTGACACGCCAAGCTTCTGTTGCGCCTGTCCCAAGAAAGTGGGGCAGAGGCAGGCTTCACTTCAGGTTTCACCTCCCATTCCCAAGTCAGCCAGACGTTTTGCCCCTGAAATCACGGCCTTGCGCCTGGGGGTCTCCCAACAAATGGGCCCAATTTTTGACCCCCCACTTCAAGCTGCCGCGTGCCTTCGCTGCCCAAGCAACCTGCCAGTGACTCTTTGGAAAGCAGGGCTTTTTGGCTTTTTGCGCGGGTGACTGGGGCCAGGCAATGTTGTTCTCCCCACCTTCAACTTTTGGGTACAACGTGCCCCCGAACAAAGGGCGCTTTGGTAAGCTTTGATAAGCCACAAGTATGCGCATTATGCGCCCTGATATGCCCCCTCGCAGGTACAGGGTGTTGTTCTCGCATGGAAGGCGATCCGTGATGGGGCCAGGTGTGTGTGTGTGTGTGTGCCCTTTTAGTGGGGATTCATCGCTTTTGGAGGGAGCACCTGGGGCGGGTTTCTTCATCCGGGGGCTCTCTCTCTCTCTCTCTCTTTCTTTCTTTCTTTCTTTCTTTCTTTCTTTCTTTCTTGCTCTCTTTCTTTCTTCTTTTTCTGGGGGGCAGGGGGGGGAGTCTTGCTTTAAGGGAAGCCCAAACGAAACGCTTGAGCTCCAGCGGGAACTTTCCCGGTAGCGGCTCAGGTGGCGGAGCTGCAGGCGATGGACCAGGGCCTGGCGGGGGCGCTGGACAGCGCGTGGCTGTGCCTCTGCGGGGCGCTGGCGCCTTCGAAGCTTTTGGAATCGGAGTGGGTGGGAATTGGGTTGGTCGGATTGGAGGGGGTTGGCAGAGAGGTGGCGGGTTTCTTGGAATTTTGGGGTTCAATATTGGACCCCCGTCTTTTCTTCGTTTTCTTTTTTTGTGGAGGGGGGGGGGACGATTTTTTTGCGATGTGGCGGGTGTTTTTGTTTGCCTCTCGGTTCGATCGACACGCTTGTTGGGGGGGGGTCTCCCAACTGGGAGAAAGGCGGTGGGGAAGCCGTTGGTTTGGAGAATGAGAACCCAATCAAGACAGCAGGCCATATCCGCCCAAAGCACCTGAGGCTCGGCAAACATTCCATCAATTGCTTCAGTGAAGACAAATTCGATGTGTTGCAACCAGCGCGCGAGTGAGTCTTGGATCCTGGCGCAGAGGTGATGTTCATGCACGCCGGCTTCGCAATGCTGGAGACAGGCTGCTGCCGCGCCAAGAACGCGTCCAACGTCTTGATGAAGAACTTGGTGAACGTGTGTGTGGGCACCTTGGGCTGGTGGAGCTTGGGATGGGCCTTTGCCTACGGCGCGCAGAACGGCAATGGCTTTATCGGCACCACCGGCTTCTTCGGCTGGGATTTCTACAGCCAAGATGCCACCACGGGGGTGATCACGCCAGTCACCTGCAACGGGGAAGGCTGCCAGAGCACCATGCTGAGCTGGTTCTTCCAGTGGGCCTTCTGCACAGCAGGCGCCACCATCGTGAGCGGAGCAGTCGCGGAGCGCGTGAAGAGCCCCACCTATGCCGCCTACGCCTTCTTCATGACAAGCTTCATCTACCCCGTGGTGGTGGCATGGACCTGGGGTGGGGGCTGGATTGCCAGCGTCTTGGACGTGGGCTACATGGACTTTGCTGGCTCCGGTGTTGTCCACCTCACGGGCGGCGTCAGCGGCCTGGCCGGCACCATCGTGCTGGGGCCCAGGAAGGGGCGCTTTGTGAATCCAGAGGAGTTTGAGCCTCACAACCTGCCGCTGGTCGTGCTGGGCACCTTTGCGCTGTGGTTCGGCTGGTACGGCTTCAACCCAGGCTCCACCCTGGGCATGCACGACGGGGCCACAGGTGCGCTGGCCGCGCAGGCAAGGCTGGTTGCAAGAGTTGGGAAACAAACACAAACCAAGGAATAAAATTTGGGTTGTCTCCAACACCCTTGAAGTATCTCAATTTCCAAGTGGCCACCTAGGGAAACTAATTTCAACCTCATCAAGCTTCCCTCAAAAAGGGTTGGTTGGAGCCCAGTGGTTTGGTGGTGTTCTGGAATGGTTCTCATCTACCCTCTAGAAGAAGCAGGGGTTCAAATCCCCAAACAAGCAATCCAAACTACTTCTGAAGTGTACAAAAGCTGAACATAAGCCCAACTGGTATTCCCCAGTAAGCCCAGAGACAGCCGCTCCAAACCACTCCAGAGCCTGTGTGCTGGGGCACAAATGAAGAAACAGAGGGACTGTGGATGAACAAAATCCTGCACCACCTAGGAAACCCTGCAATGATGATTTTCCTGTAAACACCAACAAGCAAATGGTTTCAACCATGGCTTCCAAGTGCTGCGAAATAGGAGAACAAAAACCGTCCATCCACAATATCAAACAACCAGGAAAGGACACATGGCAAACCCAACGGTCTTGAAGGGGTCTCTGGGCCTCAGTGCTTCTGGTTGTCGCGGTGAGAAGAACCCCCATGGCCGTCTTTCCCTGCTCTTGTTCATTCATGCATACGCACGGATTTGCTTTTGTTCATCGCCAGGTGGCCATGAACACCACCCTGGCTGCGGCCACGGGCGGCATCACGGTCTTCATCCTGCGCTACGCCATCCTCAGGACAATGCGCCCCCCTGAATTGACCTGTTTGCTCAAGGATATGGGTCTGCCTTTTCTGAGGGTCCGTTTGGGTTTCCTTCAGTCTCAGGTTTTCAACCGGGAAGTGATCGTTTTGTGCGAGGGTTCAAGCTAGTTCTGGCGAGGAAGTACGACGTGGGCGGCTTGTGCAACGGCATCCTCGCGGGCCTCGCTGCTTGCCCTCGCTTTCCATCCGGTAAACTGGGAAAACAGACAGAACTCTTTTGTTTCTTCCCCACCCCCAGAGGTGTATGGAAGAAGGGCCGCACCAAACGACCATTACGGGTCCATTTTCCCCCGCACGTGGGAAGGGAAAGAATGGAAGGTTCAACATCAACCGATCACCCTTCCTGTCACTCGACCAGCCCTAAAGCAACCCTAATCCAACCCTACAGCCACCACTTAAACTCATCACACAAAACCCGCCCTAAACCAGCGCTAAACTATCTAACACCATGCTAGACCACCCGAACGCAACCTAGACCACCCGAGCGCAACCGACCCAGAGCTCACTCTGAACCCCTAAGCCCACCCAAACCCCCCAAACCAATCCAGAACGAGCCCTCCCACCCTCATCCAACCTTGAGCCAACCTGCCCAAGTCGACCCAACGCCTCACCAATAAACCAACTGAAACCAGCCCTGGGCAACCCTGACCCTTCCCTAGAATCCAACCCCATCAACTCCAAACCACCATTGAAAGTAGCATTGCTACCACTGTCAGGGTGCCATGGGCAGAAAGGCAGGGTCATGCCAGTGGTGAACACTGCGGCAGTGTTTGGTCAAGGTAGATGCACTTTGGGTGGAAGAAATCCAATTCACACCACCTAAGAGCCGAGGGATTCCAGCACAACCAGAAGACACCAAGAAACGGCAGGAATTTTCTAAGCTTTTTTGTTAGGTCTCCATCACTGCCGGGTGCGGCAACATGGAGTGCGGCTCTGCCTTTGCCACCGGTCTGGTGGGGGCCATGGTGTACCAGGAATCGCTTGGGTTGGGTTGGGACGATGGGCTCCCGGTTTTTCCTCTTTGAAGATCCACCAAAAGGAAGTTCTCACATGGAATTGACCCAAGAGGTGCTGAGAAGCGCCAAAGGTCTCGAATATGGAGATTGTTGTTGTCGAAGTCCTTCTTTTGGCAAGCCGTTGAAATCCGCTGGCCGGAGCTGATGTTGGGTTGTTCGAACTATTTAGTTTAACCATCGCTCCCCCCCACCCAACACAAAACCAACAACGGAAGCGACCGCCAGCTTGCCGCCCCTCGGGTTCCCCAAATTCATTCAATTGAGAGATTTCCGGCTTAGGGAGAGACCTGCCGCCGGTTGCCTGTTTTTTTTGTCTTTGACCGAGTTGGGTGCTCAGCGGGAGGGTGTGATGAATCACGCCTCCGAAGCCTTTCCTTTCATTTGGTGGGGGAATTCTATTGCTGGTGCGACAGGGAATGAGAATTGGAATAACCTCTTTGAACTTCGTAAACCATCCCGTATGGTTTCCTTCAAGGGAATCCCTAGGTGCTGAGCTCCGGCAAGTTCTGGTTGGCCAACTGACCAACTCGCCGTTGGATTTGTTTGTGCTGCTTGATCGACGGATTGGACACATCGGATCGTCAGGCTGCTTGACGTCAAAGGCGTTTGAACCCATTGAAACAGATGCAAAATGGACACGTTCCAAAATGAAGCCACAAGAACTTGGACCACGGGCCAACTCGTCCTTTCCATTTGCCAGACCTTTTCCCTGTTGGGGTTCGACCCCCTACTTTTGCCTGGCCAGCCACATGTCTTTTCCTCGCCCCCAAAAACAAGATCCGCTTGCTTGCGAGCGCCGGGCTGCGGGCAGGGAGCCTCCATGCTGCTCCAGAAGCTGAAGATCGACGACCCCGTGGACGCCGCGCCGGTGCACGGCTTCTGCGGCATTTGGGGTTGCATTGCCTGCGGCCTCTTCGACTGGGGCAAGGCCTGTTGCGTTTTTTTTGGAGGGGAATGGGAGGACGGATTGCTTCGAGGATCAAAGTGGCTAAGTGGGGTACAATCGTGGTTACATGCATGTAGCTTTATGTTTAGACTGATTCTTCTTGTTATATTATCATTAATGTTATCATTATTACTAGTATTGTTCTTTGATCACCATTACTAGCATTATTCTCATTATTATCATTCTTATCATTATTATCATTCTTATCATTATCATAAACATTATTCTGTCAGTAGAATTAATCTTAGTAAGTTTGTGTTTAACATGTTGTTAATTCTTATTAGACTTTAGTATACGTATGTACATATGTTGTGTATGTCTGGGACTGAGAACCATGCAGGGTGCCGCTTTTTTTGGCGATGTTTCGGTTGCCGGGTGCCATGGCAAGTCAGCCATACGCCAAAGCCATTGCAGGTTCTCCGTTTCCCTGGAGCTTCTCTCGGGTTTGATGGAGGGGGATGGGGCGTTGATTGGGCAAAACAGGGGCACGGCCGTCACGAGGGACAAGGGGTCGTTTCGCCGTGGGTTTCGGGAGTTCAGTTGATTTGGAATTCCATAAGCCCAAGACTGAAACGGGGTTGAGGGCATCAAGCCGTTTAAGTCTTCAAATGCCTGTGAAGCGAGTTCTAAGTTGATTTGGGTGGCCAAAAGAGGCTAAACCGAAACAAACATGAATGCCGGTTGTCCTTTTTGATTTCCTTCAGAAGAGTGCACCTCCCAAAGAACACAAGCCCAAATTGGAGATCTGCGTTCAGCCAGGGAGTGGACCACTTCCACGGCTGGAGCGGCTGGGGCTGCATGCAAACCGCGGACGAGAGCAGCTGCAAGACGGGCATCGGCGGCACAGCCATCGGCGCGCAGTTCATCATGGTCCTCATGATCATCGCCCCTCGTTTGTTTGCTTTTTTTGGAGGGGGGTAGTAAGGAGTAGTGAGGAATAGTTTTTGTGCTTCGGCGCCGAAATTGAAATCGAGAAGCCGGAGGTATTCGAAATCCGGGTAGCTATGAGGGGTCGGTAGGGGATGGTCCCAATCATAAGTACAGTGGATGGACGAAAACCCGCACCAAATAAACCCTGTCCTGATACGCGCGCCATCCGAAGCCCTTTTGCGCACAAGCAAACTGCGTTGTAGTTGATAAGGGTCATCAGCCCAAAGCTTGTAGTTGCGCCCGGTGATGAAGGAGGTCAAGCAGTGTCGTCTCTCTTCTCTGGATGTACTTTTCCTTGTCCACATCGACCGTATCTCGAATCATGGCCCACTCATCAGGAGTAATTCCAACGGGTCTTGCTGTCTTCATCACAGGAAAACCATCTGCGCCCACGGGATACGGTCTCCCAGCGGCGGGGTGATGGTCGGGCCCAAGGAGCAGAAGAAGATTCACAGCGAGACCAGGGACATGGAGAAGCACAGCAGCGGGTGGAGGCAAACCCTTTCTGGAGCTCACGCGAGGCGAGGTTCAGGGCGCTGAGGCCCGATGGCCTGTCGAAGGTCCCGGGCACTGTGAGCCCGCAGAAGGTCGAGAAAGGAGAGCACGGAGAATCCACCTCCACGTGTTCTTGGAGGACAAAACAAGTGGCAAGATATGGAGAAGGTCAACGCGGTGATCATTTGTCTGGATGAGGTGAACCATCCAGAGGCCAAGACTTACACAAGGATGACGTACACGGGCGCGCAGGTGCTTGCTGTCCTGGCGAAGAGCGGAAAGATGGTTAGTGTTCTAGGAGGGCCTCTGTGCCGCATTGTCTCAGCGTGTAGTTTCAAGGGCGCCGGGCGACGTGACTGCCGGACGCCTCACCAACGGGTCCTGGACATGACCAACGCAAGATTATGATGAGCCGATCCAAAAAACCTGGAGGCAGTTGTGGACGTGTTGATGCTGGACAAAGAGGGACAGAAAGGGAAGCTGACATGGAGTTACAGGCTGTTCATGTCTGGCGAAATGGTGGAGAGTCCCAGGGTGTGGCGGTGACTGACTTGACATTTGAGAACTATAGCGCCGAGGCGCAGAATAAGGCAACCGCAAGCGATGGGTCTACGGTGCTTGTGTGGGGACGCGCTACCTATACGAAGAAGAAGATTTGGAACGGTCGGTGCGTAGATTGGCGGTGGGATAGAGAGCGGCTCAAGATTATGGGACTGGATGTGGCAAATGTCTGGCGGCTCAGGAGAGGCGGTCATTGAGCCGGGCAAGGAAGTGTTGGAGGATAAGGAGGCAGCGTTGGGAAAAGACATGATGCGTGATGTCGACGATGGTCGCCCAGGGGGTGAATGTGCAGGGACAGCTCACCTTCCAGAGGGATGGAGTGTCTATGCAGGAGAAGAAGATAAGGATGTGGCTTGCGGTGCTTCGAAAAGGCCTTCAAGGGGCGCTGCGCGGCCGGAAGAGTGGCTGCTCACTAAGACGATCGTGTGGGAGAAGTGAGGGGTGAGCTAGAGAGTTGGAGGGAAGTGGCCAAGAAATGAATATGCGGCGTTGGTGGTGGCGAGAGGCGTGGCGGAGGTGCTTCCAGCTAAGGCTTGGCCAAGGCGGCGCGCGCGAGGAAATCTCCACATGGATAGTGGGAAGTTCGAGGTGTGTGAAGACGGCTGGGCAGCGGATATGGAGCGCTCTGTGCGCGCACACCCACGCAGCCTTTGTGAATGGAGGGACGATGGCCGGACGGTGCGTCATGGAGGTTCCGACGGGACGGAGCTTGCGACGTCGAGCTTCGGAAGGTGGTGTGGGAATGCCGTGGAAAGAAGATGAGGTTTCTGGAGACCGAGGAGCGGAACCTGTGGTGGATAGTTGACGTGCTAGCGTAGTCCTTGGTGCAGTCTCGTTTGAGCGCGAAGCGCTTCGACGAAAAAGTATACCGCGGAGACGGAGATCCTCTGCCTCCACGGCCCGCGGCCCATTGGTACAGTCGCTGCGTCAGAAGGCCTTCCACGCGGCCCACCGTGGGCGAACGCGCGTAGGTGTTTTGCCCACTGCAAGCTTGCGTTTCGCCGTCTCACCCTTTCGTGATTTCAAGTTGGTGGCGCCAAGAGCACGCGCAAGTGCTGACGTGCTTGCGCTAGTGACTGCAACGGCTGCAGCCGCGGCTGCTTTTTGAGGGGGAAAAAGTCCACGGGATTGCGCTGCTCTTTTTTCCAACTGTTTTCTGAACCATCTCATTCTCCAAACCTGCCAAGAGCTTTTGGATTTTCTTGCCACACAAACGAAGCCTTGCTGAATTTCAGAAACCGGAAAAACGAAAAGCCAACAAACACTCTGTTCTACTTAGTTTCACTTGTGACACTACAGACAGACCATATGATCATTATGTGTTGGCCATCGATTTGCCTCGGCCAGCACTTAAAGATGCGAATTTATTTCGGCGTGGAGTTGGTGCCTGTTAAGACGGTGTGTTTTTGTAAACAGTTCGATTGCACATCACGGCCTTTAGTGGTTTGTTGGGGTGAATGATCTCGGATTGGATGCTATTTTGTTTGAATGGGACGAGATAATTGTTTCCCACCAGCCTGACCAAAGTTAGCAACTGTTCGAGCAGGTGGGGGGCAACAACCACCCAAGTAACTGGGTCCCTGTAAGGCACACACATGTTTTTGTTTGTCCCTTTTTTGGGTTGGTTTTTCGGGAAATGAAAAGGGACAACCACAATTCTGGCAGTGCTTGCAGGCTTGGTTACCAAGTTTGTCCCAAATGATCAGCAATCCCATTTTTCAAAATAGGTGGGTTTGCCAGGCCCGCACGAGGACTTTTGACCATGACGAGTTGGGCATGGGAAGCGCTTTGGTCGTTGCTCAAAAGGAAACCCCAGGCAATCATGGTATATATGTTTGTGATGTTTGGCAGGTTTGCTCCTTACCCTCAAAACAAAGTGTTTCTTCCACATTTTGTTCCAACTTGTGGTGGTTGTTTCTGAAAAAAGGTGTCCCCGTTTCGGATGGTCTTAAGGAGAAGCCAACCGAAACTGGGAAACACCCAGTGACACTCGGGGTGAACAGGTTGCTCACTCCAACAGCTGCACCCCATCAAAGCAGTCCACAATGAGGAGCCCATGCTTGTTGGGACACTTTGGGATTTGATTGGTTCTGGAGTTGTGTGCTAGCAGGGTTCCTCCTTCTTTTCTACGAAAGGGCGCGGCCTGCTAGCGGAGCGTGTTTTGTTGAGTCTTATTGGTCCTCCAGAGGGGTTGCGAACAACATGTTGAAACAATCAATGCTTTCTTTTGGCTGTGTTTTGTTTGATGGTCCCTTTCAGAGCTTGGTGTACAAACAATTTCCACAAACGACAGCTAGCATCAACTTTCGGGGTACGAATCCCGATTTTGCCACAAACGTTCTCCCGTTTGAGAACCATCTCAGGTTTTGAGATCGCCGTCTTCCCGCCGAGCCGAAATTATTTGGGGGACCTGTTGGGGTCCCGAGTTGCAAGAAAAGAACACCTGGTAGGTTTTCAGCTTGGGAGATGCTCGTTTAAAGAGCCCTGCATTTTGATACTCAGCAGCGCTTTGATTTTTCCTTGGGAGGCTATTCTTTTAAGGAATCCTGCGTTTTGATCTTTCAGTGGAACGCCCCCAAAGCTGCTGGGGCTTTGTATGGCGAAAGCAACATTTGGAGGTCTCTCTCAAGAGCCCCCTCCCAAAGAAACATCAAACAACATGGATCGGACCTGTTTGGGGTGTATGATGTCAGCATCTGGCAGCAGGGGGGAGGCCATCGGAAAAAAAACGCATCGCCTCCCTTTTGGCCTTCCCTGAAAAACTCCGAACTTGTCACACTCGGAGTCGGACGGCGCTTGGGCGAAAGCGCCATCTGAAACGCGGCGCAAGACGCCACGGGCCGCCTGCGTCGCGAGGTTTGGGCCGGGAGCCTGTCGACCATCGCATTCTTCCTGCTGAAGCTGACGGGGCTGCTGCGAATCAGCGAGGAGGCGATTCATTGGCTTGGGCGGAGAGAGAGTTTTTGGGTTTGTGGTGTTTTAGGTTTTTTTTTTGTGTTTGTTGTTGTGTTTTAGGGTTGGGTTTTTAGAGTTTTAGGCTTTGTTGTTTTTTCTTTTGACCCGGTCTTTCATCAACAATAGGTATTCTAGGTCCCCCAGTAGTGCCCTTCCTCACCCCTTTTTTGGTTGGGAGGGTTCCCCTACTAAAATGGACTACAGAAATACAGCTGCTACCCTTATTCTAACCTCTCTACTGGAGGACCTAGTATTAATAGGGGTGGGGGGCCCCTCCAAAAGTGGTCTGATTCCCCGCTAAACCCAGAAATGGACACCCCCTATTAAAGGACTGGGTTGATATGAGTCAACACTACCCGACACCTCGCCTCTGGAGTTGGCAACGGGTTTTCCCCTTTGTCATTTGGCGTTTTTACCCTCGTACCCTTGCGGATCCGAGCCAAAGCTTGCAGTGGGCGGGGTGAGGGGGGTTCGTCCGTTTCGTAGTAGGATTGAAGGAACATGAGATGAAGGTTAGTAAGGGGCAGTCCCGGCCAGAAAGAGACGTGGCCGCCTTACATGGATTTGGGTAGGCCATTTGAATCCCGCTCGGTTTTGATTGTGACCCAAGATTCTGAGTCTAAGTTGTCTCCTATGCCCGGGCGTTCCGAAGCCGCATCATTCGAGGTCTGGAGTCAGTTAATCTATAGTATTTGGGGTGGTGCCTGGGCTTCAGCGAGCAAGCCGAACAGAAAAGATGAGGTGGTCCTGTCTATCCCATTCGGGGTGCGTTTTCAAGTGGGACGGACATTTTGAGGGACCAAAGCTCTAAACATGTCTTTTTGGGGCCCGGTTCCCTTTATCACCATTTGCTTAAGAATATGTTCTGATTTCCCTTGTTGGCTTTGAAAGGAGCATCTATCACTACTTTGTTTTTCTTGCTTTTTTTGGACAACAAAATCCAGGCGGGCAAACACGCAAATGGAAGTTTACCACAATTTGTATTCTTCGATGCTGCAAACTTCCCTGTCTCCGAGGAGTTTTTGTTCCCAGCCGATTCCCGGTTCCGTAGGTGTTTGGTGGTGTTCAGGTTGGTTTAGTGGTTGGGCTTCCATTTAACCCACTAAAAGCTACGGAGGAGATAAGGAATACAAAGGGCTTGCAACCATCTTGCTGCCCTTGAGTGGGGAGCGATTCCACCGATTTGGGGGTACATGGAAACAGCGTTTTGAATTGCTGCATCTGCAGAGGGATCCTTCTTTCCAAGACCAAACCACCCAGGGGCCAGCAGCGTTTCGTGTGTGACTTAAAGTTTGGCAGAATCTCGGTAGAACCAAATAAATTGCAGATGTGTCAGAATAGGGGCCCCCAGCCCAACAAACATGGCCATGGGCCAAAATTCCGTACCCCCAGTGAACATCCCAATCCCCACGAAAAAAGATCAGAACGGGTGATGCACCAACCCCAACATGGGATCCCATTGGTTTTGACCCACAGCCACATGGACATTTTCCTTCCCGCCTGAAGGGCCCCGGGCGCACGTCAGGTGGAAGAGGGCGGCATGGACTCCCACCACCACTCCCCGCCGAAAGCCTATGCTCTCGCCAACCCCATGGACAACAACGGCCGGGGGGTGGGGAACTCCAGGGCCTTCTCTCTACCCGACCCTTCCGAGGAATCAGGGTGTTTGTTTTTTTTCCCCCCAAGCCCCGGAAGTGGGGGAATTTGCGTGTTTGGCAGGTGTCTTTGGGCCCCGGAAGCCAAAAGCTAAAGCCTTCAGAGACTCGTTCATCAGGATGTGTACCTCTGAAAACGGCACCAACTTTGGCCATGTGAGGTTCAGTCACCATTTTGGTCCGTTCGGGACACGTCATTTCCCGCGACCAGGGGACTCGCGACATTCCCCGCGTGCGCTTGGGACTCACGTGGTTCCGGTTGCTCAAAGAGGGGGGTGTCTGCGATGGGCGTGCACTCCAACCTTCGTTTGGGGAGCCTTCCAGGAAGAAGGCTGCGGAAGCGAGTTGCAAGAAGAAGAGTGGACGTCCAGAGGGTGTGTATGACTCGGCGGCCGCTAGAACCGTTGAAGGTCAGAGGCTGTGTTTGACTCCTCACATGGCCAACGCCTGTGATTAGGCCAGCTGTACACCGGGTGTGTGCTACAACCCCAAGATGGCTGGCATGTTCTTGGCCCCCTCTAAACATCAAGGAGGGTTCCATACAGGTTCCTCACGCCTTTTGGAACCCCCCAACACGTATTTGGTTGACCAACGCATGAAACAGAAGCTGAAAGAAAGTTTGAGTGTGCCCCTGGCGGCTGCCAAGTTTGACCCTCGCTTTTGGGGCGGCTCGCCACGCTACTTCACGGTGTCTCTTGGTGGTGGTTGCCGCAAGAGAATGACCATCCAAGCACACCGCCTATTCCAAACACCACATCAACCTTTGACCCCCCCCCCTATTTTTTGGAAACCTGCAAACCTGCATGTGGACGCCTGGTTCTCAAATTTCGATACAGAAGCCGGGGGGCATTTGGACGTCGTGAGGCACTGCCGTCTGAGAGCAGAGGCCGGGTCGAGGCGAATAAAAAAGCGACTTCCCTTTGCTGAAAAACCCTCTTTGCAGGATCAAATAAGCGGTTTCCGATCGCTACTGGAGAATCGTGGGTGCCTCCGATCTGGGAAGCGGGGGAACTTCACCCTCTCAGGAATCCCAAGTGGCCCAAGACCATAGAAACAGCGGGTGACCCAGCTTTTGCTTTCAAAGATCGGGGGGGTGGACATACTCGAACGATTTTTGGGGATTTTTCATGGGATGGCCTCCCATGGCCACTCAGAGTGGTTTGGGCCGGTCAACGGTCCCGGGTTTGGACGAGATTCTGCAGTCCCAAAGTTTCCTTTTTTGGTTTTTGGGCATCGCCTTTCTGGAAAGTTAAGGTGAGGATCATTTGATGCTTTGATAGGGGAAACGGGAACACGAATGATAGGGGAAACGGGAACGAGACATTTATGAATCAAATGCGAACGATACTAGATACTGTGATGTGTCAAAGGGAAACGAGACATGTATGAGACCTGTTATCAGAGTTGCTACGGTGGCTTACACGGAACCCAAATCGAACATGCACGGAAGGGCCCACCAAAGGTTTTGAGACCTCAAGTGGAAATGGCTAAGGGATAAGTCGCCGAGCACTTTCATGCTCGGCTTGGTGCACAGACCCTCTTAATGTGGGTCACTGATTAATAAAGGGGCCTCCCCACCAAACAGATGTTGGTGACCCAATAGAGAAATCCGGAGCAATTTGCGGGTCAGATTGGAGTTTCCCAAGTTTACTGCTGGCTTTGTATTGATTAGTAGTGGTTTAGTAATCATTTAGTATTGCTTTGCGCTGCTTCAGTACTGGCTTAGTATCGCTTTGTGCTGCCTTAGTATTGGCTTAGCATTGCTTTGTGCTGCCTTAGTATTGACTTAGTATTGGCCAGTGCTGATTTAGTATTGCTCAGTATTACTGGAAACTGCATTTTGGTGAATGTGGGATCCACCGTATCATTTTACGCAAAAGGACTCTGAGCTGCTCCTTTGTTTTTTAGTGTCCAAAATGAGTGCGGGAGTCTCCGTTGTGTCTTTGTTTTGGGGAGCCCTTTGTACTTGGGGCCCGAAACTGCTGATCAGCCTAACATGTGCCTCAATGAGCACAAACTACAATCCTGACCGAGCGATTCCAAAGGTGGTTGCAGCTCACTTGCAGCAAATCCACCTGAGCTGGCCGAATCAGTTTTTTCTTTCAGCTGTCGTGGCCCCAACTCCGTGATCAGCTTCTACTTCAAGCCGAGTCCGGGATCACCGAAGCGCGAGGGAGCACGGTCCAAGGTAGGCGTTGAGCGGCCCTTCGCGACATGTGGACCCCACACGAATCAACCCCAGTTTTTTCATATGGAGGTAAGTTCCCTTGCAAAAGTGACGCATCCCCACACAACATTTTTTTCTCTCCCTTAAATAATAGGGGTTGATTCCTTTGGGGTCAGCATGATTTGGCCTCGACCCTGGAGCAAACCAAGAAGGGTTGAGCGTAGCATCAGGTTGGGCTAGCCAGCTTGATGGCAAGCCAGGTTGAGAGATGCAGCACTAAAGTAAAACGTTTGGCAGCGGGGTCAGCAGCAACGATGGAATGGCCAACAAATTATGGGTTTTCCCCTTCGTTTCCCGTTTAAGTCATTTCCCAGCCACCCGTGGACTTTTCCTTGTCCGTCTCAGGCGTGTGATGGAATTGGATTGCATCGCCTCAGAGGATTGAGGCCGCAGAATGAATACCTGCCCAGCGCTTCCGCTTCTCTTGAAGGTCGGGGTTCATGGCTGTCCAGACCAAACGGTTTCGTCTTTTTGAACAAGGTGCTTCTTTCAGCTTTTCTTTTTGTCATGGATGGTTGCTTTCAGTGTCTTTTTTTCAACCATGGATGGTTTCCTTGTCCAGGCCCCCCTCCAGTCCCCGGCCATTTTTCCCCCTTTTTTGGGCTTCGGAAGCACTGGGAAAATTGGTGCAATGCGGATGTGCTGCCATAAGTCGTGGAGCGAACTTTGGATTGGCCCTCAGGAGTTTCCAATCGGAGCTTCCCCCGTTCCTTCTCTGAGACCTGCAGGGTATCATGATTTTCCGTTCTTTCCTTGTTTCTTTTTTTTTGTTGTTGAGGGGGGAGTCCATGTCAAAGCAACCAACAACCAAAAGTGTGCGTTTCTTTCTTTTTCTTACGGAATACAGCGATCGTTGGGCAGCGGGGAACTGAAGGCTTGTTTCCTGTTCTTGGGGGCCTTCCTAGCAGCAAAGTGTCCGTGACTTGGATCACCCAAGCGGCACTGGCCTTGAGCCAGATGCCGCGCTCGAGCGTGCGGAGAATGGGGCCGTCGCAAGCGCGAGAACGAGCCCCCATGAACCTGGCCCGAAGCGTACCCCCAGATCTCAAATGAGCCACTTGCTCAAAACCCGGGTAGCTGAAGGTTAGTAAGGGACGGTCCCAGCCAGAAATAGCGCGGTGAGAGGAAGGCTTCAGCCAGGGTGGAGGCTCATGTGGGGTCATTCGCTGACCAGCTTGCAGATTCGGCTTGAGAGCAGGGCGTGAATCCTGGCGCGAAGTCGCCGAGGGTTTTCTGGGCAAGCAGCAAGCAACCAAGCGACCTTTGAAGACCAGCACTCGGACAAGCATCCACAGCCCGGGGTTCTTTCCGCGCGCCCTACTGGCACTGGATTGAAGAGACTGCACCTCGCGAATCCTGCGAGCGGAGAAACACGCGAGGGTGCGGCTTGCCCACACTTGCCATTCCACAGCTTGCCACGCCCCGGCTCAGGTTTGGGTTGTGGCCCAACAATTTCCATCTTTTGCAAGCTTCTGGGTAATGAATAGCCAAGCACTCCTCTCAGGAACCGCCTGGAAGACAATTTTCCGAAAAAAGAAAGGACCATTTCCATGGTGCGCTCGATGGAAACGTGGACAGGAAGGCGCAAACGGCTCTTCGAGTTCCCTTCTGTCAGGTGCCGGACCTGTCCTGAGGTGGCGCAGCCGTGTTCGCATCTCTCAGGCAACCCTGCGATTGAACCCAAGAGTCCCCAGCCAAGAACCATTGGTTGCGCTCAGTTCGGTGGATGCCAACCAATCTCTCGTGCCCTTCGGGTCCGAAACCACCCAACAGCAACAAAAACAGTCTCGACCTTCCAAATGGCACTGCACCCCGGTCGCTTTGGCTCAGCTCGGGGATTTTTTGGCGTGTGTTTGCATCCGTGGAGCGGAGAGGCGCGGAAGCACGAGCTGGGGGGAGGGGTGAAGGGTGGGGTGAAGGGAGGGGAAGTACTGGGTCCAAGAAAGCTCGGTCCCCGGAAGAAAGTGATGCCTTTTGGACAATTGGGATTTTGAAAATGGGGGTTTGAAGCCGCTGGCGAATGTTTTGGGTGGGTTAGCCAGCGAGTTGTTTTTTGCTTTATAATTAGGTCCGTTAAACTGGCTGCCCTATGAGGGGTGCTTTGGGTCCAGCTGGTTTCCCTGCAACCGTGGGGCGTCAGAAGGCCAGATCTGCGAAGGAAGGACAACCGTACTTGGGCGTGTGAAGGGCCAAGCTGGTAAGTCCCAACGGTAACCTACGTCTCCCGTTTAGTCGGGGTCACCTTGCTCTTAGGTGAAACAAGAACCCAATTACCTCAAGTGGCGAGCCACTTACTTGGCCGAACATCCAAGTCGGGCTGTCTTTTGTGGGAAGCAGAACTATGGCGCCCGCAACGCGTCGCCTCACGCCTGGCATCAAGGGGACCCGTGGAAGACGGTCTTGGATCCAAGTGCGACACCTCGTGCTCGACTCTGCCGCCTGAGGGCGAGGAAGCACCGAGCAAAGAGCCAGAGATGCTTGTTGTTAGGAAGCACTTTACATTTTTGCTTGTGGTTTAGTGGGAAATCCCCACTGAACTGCTAAGATGTAAATTTTTGCTCTCCCTTCCCACGTCAACCAAGCAAAGATGCTACGAGCGCCCAGAAAGCAGGGCCACACCAAGGCGGGTTTTCGGGCCCCTTCCATGCCAGCCAGGCAGACTGATTTGATCAGATAGGCGTGCGACCCCAAGAAAAAAATACAGAAGCAACCGAAGAGTTCCAGTCGAAGACTCCCCCCCAGCTTGCTTGCTTGGAAACACGTATATACCGTATATGTGTTTGTTATGTTTTTGTTATGTTTTGTTTTGTTTAGGGCTCCCCTTTTTGGTTGAAGCTTTAACCCAAAGGAACGCCACCCATTTGGGGG